GCCTTTCTTAGCCAGTTCCTTAATAAATTATTTACAATATGTACATAATGTATACATACACACCTGCATATGTATGTGACTTACTGCTTCTCTGACTAAGCCCTGATTAATATCCTAATCTCTAAGGGAGGGACAGAGCAGAAGGACAAATTCTCGGTACAGCAAATCTCAGTAAATAGTCAGATTTCTTGGTAAGCCATGAAAGGCTGTTCTCATTCTACAAAGGTTGCTCTCATTCTACTGATAACTGCCATCCAAACAAATCTGGGAAAACTGTGTGGGTAAGGGTCCCAGCCTTGCTAGCCCCTTCGGGTGCAAGGACCGTGTCAGCGTACACCCGGTCTCCAACAGGCAAGGTGGGGGCGACTGGGCCTGGGCTCACCATTGGGAGTGAGCCAACCCGAGAGAACTGGGTAAGCGGGGCCCTGCACCCAGGGGCGCTGACACGTGGGTGGCGTGTAATGGGCGCAGGAAGTCTTGGTCGACTGTCCTGATGATACTGATCCTAGGAAGTGCCGTCAGATGCGATAACTGACGATGTCACACTATCTGACCGCAGTCGCTGAGACCTCGGTAGTTTGGTTGCAGTTAACAGCAGAATCCGCCCTAAATGCATGTCCTTCCTTTCCCGACAGCAGACCCACCGAAGAGGGCCGAGGTCAGAGCGGCACCGCGCCCGGCGGTAAGGCCTAGGCTACCGGGGTTTGGTACGGAACGTGGGTGTCTTGTTTCCTTAAATGCCCTGAAGTTGCCTGACGTTGTACAGTTGTAATTTTACGTGTGTATAATGCACTGCCTCATTGCATAATTGCAATGGCTAGGAGATCGTGGCCCCTAACCGGAACTACTTAAGTCGCAGCGATATGCATAGACAAACTCCATCAAAATGTCTCCTGGCTTAATCGACATTAGTTGATCCAGGTAGTGCCGGGAGCAGTACTGGGAACAGTGAGCTTGACTGCTCTGATGAAATCACCCATAGGAAGTGCCGTCAGAAGCGATAACTGACGATAATTCCTGGCTGACTGCAGTCAACAAGGGCTCAGGTGGGGGTGCCCAGGAGTAAGTGGTCTGCACTGTGACCCTTACTTTCTATATTCACCCAGGTTGCAAATGAAGAACTGGCAAGAGCCGAGGACTGCAGTGGAGCATTGGCCTGCCACGGGGGAAGCTGTGGTCTGTGGCGAGGTGGGTGGG